GTATTAATCTACAGTAATGCCACTTTTGTGTAGGCTAAATTTAATTAGCTGTGGTGACCAAATTGTACTCACATAGTTAATGCCAAAGTTTTAAAAGGGACATATCARGCAAAATCATTTTTATTTTATATTTATTTTTTTAGTTGGTAAATGTTTTTGGTTGTGTACTTGGAGTCTCTAGCAGTGTAGAAAATTTGAATTTAGTCTTGATCGGTTCTGCAAAGATATATTTCTATTATTTTTCGGTCATTTTTTTCACCTAATTCAGCTTGCTCTATTTTCTATAACAATGTCTGAACTATTGCATCACAGTATTTTTAATGGYCTTACCAAATCAGGTCAGGACTTACCAGCTACAGTTTTGTTGTCTTRGTTCTCCTCCAGCTGTGGGTCAGACTCTAGCTCCAACATGTATAGCTGGTTGGACAAGTCTTCCATTCTTGACACCGTTTAATTAGTAAATGAAATATTGCTARACTGCTAAACCTCTCTATCAAGCTGCAATAGACTGGTCTGGAAGCTGGAGGCGGCAAGGTGTGAAACGCCTTGTTTGGATTTAAAATGACAGCATCAAAACAAGTTGATCTGAGACACACCTCAGTGAGTTACAATAAGGAGGAATTCAGACATTGCTGTTCCACTTTAGAAAGTCCCCAACTAAATGATTTAAATGTTAAAAAGAAYGATTTAAAAATGTGATCTGTCTCATTTAAGCAAATATTTTGCACAGTGTGTTGGAAACAATGTTAAGTTACCACCACTCCATTTTGGCTCAGTATCTGTAAAATTGGTTGAATTATAGCAATTTATATGCTTTCTATGGTCATTTGGCTGTGGTAGCCATCTTGAATCAGATTGACTCCAAACTTCTATCTTTTGCAGATGTCAACTCAAAAAAMTATCCCTGAAAGTTTCATTAACTTGGTTTTAGTGGTTTACAAGGTATTTTACTAATGGTACAGACAAATGAACACACATTAACATAGACTCGAGCAAAAGCATTGTCACTCAGCAGCYAGCAACAAAGATTTCTAACCACATTTTACTGTTGGAACAAACATTTCTCAAATATTTTTTAATGCTTGCGCTCCATGCATGCTAAATTAACTGCATGACTGCTCAGCATTTTGTAAACATTACCCAGACCTAATTGTCCTTTTATTTATTTATTATTTATTTTTATTCTGCATTTTTTTACCCAAATTGCTTTGGAATCTTAAAGGTTCTTGGCAAATTGCCCCTTTCTTTTCTTTTCTTTTTTCATTTTTGCATTGTTCTAAACCAAAATAGCACACCAGCCTTCCTCAGAAAGTACTTTTTTCTGCTTTCTACTCACTTAACTTTCACAGAAAAAAACAAAAGTCTGAACCATGATGCCCAGTTCTTTTTTTATGAGCCACTTTATTGTCCCTGAGTTTCATCATCTGTTTGCCTGGCTACAGCACCTGCAACATAATTAACTCTGTGGTGACAGGGAAGTTACCAACAGAGAAAATGTTGTGTTGCACTCTCACAATGAACCAGATAAAAAGGCCGAGACCTGCAGTGTTGCTCACTAAAAAATGTGATAGAAATCTTAAAAGGTCTGTAAAATGCCAGAGGAATCCAAGATGTGAGAATAATAAAAAATAGAAAAAGGTTGATATTAATAACTTTAATTTTTTTTCTACCTGTTCAACCTGATTATTCATAATAAAGGTAATGRTTATTGTGGATGCCTGGTCAGCGTTCACATTCTTTTCCTGTTTAGAGTTTTTCTGTATGTTTTTCGATCTTTA